AACTCCATGGAGGGCCTCCTCAACACCCGTTCCCGTGCAAGAAGCGAACATCCGTCTAACGCACGCCAACATGTTAGGAGTACTTCTTGGTCTTTCTTTCGTTTCGGGTCAGATTGCATCGACGAACGAATCACAACGATTCGATCAAAATCCCTAGATTCGATCAAAAGCGGAACACGTCCATTCCACCTAGGATGATGCCGAGAAACACCGGGCAACCCCGCCAGTGTGCCGAACTCCACGGGCTTTCCCCCGAACCACCCAAACCTGCCCGGCCACCCGCGACTCCACCGGAGGCACGACGCCGCCTGTGGCTCCATGCCGGCCACCTGGGGATGCGAAGCGCTCGCGAAGCGCTCGCTGGATCGCCGTGCGGCACATCAAGAAAAGGCCAAGTGACATGTGTCTGTTTGAGGGGGTGGAAGTCCAAACACTACCCGCAAACTCGTAGGTGCATATATTAATGAATATATATATATATACAGTATATATATATGCAAATATAGGTGTATTATGTGCTGCCTATAGGTAGATATATATATATATGCCCATATCATACTACATCGGTTGCGGGAAAGTGGCTCACGGCAAAGCTGTGATATCCCAACCAGAAGGAAACATGTGACTCTGATAGGACTTCAACGGGGTAGCCGGCTCTTAAGACAGCGAAAGTCTGCCAAAACGACAGCTCCACGGTGCCAAAAGAGCAGAACCTCTCTCCACGTCTCAACCACTGCACATGCTGCAATGCACGTCACGCGCTTGGCAGAGAGCGCAGCAGAGCGCAGCGCTGCTTTCTTCAGGCACGTCGCATCAGTCTCGGTCTATGGCCTGCGGCTCTATGACCACAAAGCTCAACCAGCACCCCTTTTTCGCGCGAAGAGGATGGCCGGAGGTCAGCTGAAGGTCAACCACCACTCATTGATTCACATCACTGTAGCTGTGATAGGGGGATATCCATGTTTGATCTGTGGGTTTTCATAGTCTGCCAAAGAAATCAGTTTTCTTCGAGACATGTCACACAGCCGTCATCTACGCCATCTCCCTTCAAACGATCGACAGCTTGATGCAAGAGCACGCTTGCACTGGTGCATGTTCCTAGGTTAGGAGAACCAACAGTTATATACTTAATGACGGTAGCAATTGAAAACCTAAAATCAGATGCACAAATGATATCGGTCGTGTCGAGCTTTTTTGAGTTGTCCATCTCTTTGGCAATGACACTCCATGTTTGATCCATAGCTGGTCTTCGAAGTGGAATCACCTCAGGATACGGTTCAAATATGTCCAACAAGCAATTCTTCAAAGTGTTTGGGTTTAACTAGGCATGTTTTCGAGCTTCAAGGTAGTGCAGGACCACACCCTAAAGCCCAAACAGTAACTAAGCTTCATAGAAACATCACCTATATATATAACACTGCCCGACCCAGTCATCCAATCTAGTCTTAGTATATAACTATATCGGTTGCAGCTCAAGTTTTCGCACCAGCGCAGTGTTCAGTGGCATTCGTGACGCTGCTGCTTGCGTTTTCCGCACAGAGAGAAAGGACCAAAAGCATCGAGGGCGCCAGAAAAGTCACTGAATCTGCGAGCCTATGTTCCAGCCTGCTGCGGAAGACATTCGCAAAACAAAAGAAGCTCCTGAGGGTATAGCGTTCACCTACACGCTTTATCTCCAAAGGGCTTTCACTGTGGGTCCATGCGCTGAAGACCTTGGGCAAATTATATTATATATATGTATGTGTGTGTGTGCGTGGGGTGTGTGAATGTGTGTGTGTGTGACATACTCCCAGTAGCATCTAACTGCAGCTAGTTTTTGCAGTGTCACTGGCATGTTCACATGGGCAGGCCCAAATAACAAGTGTCCGGAATTTGCCTTAAGCATGCAGAAATACCATTGAAATGGGCACCCGTATGAATGCCAAGCCCAATGAAGTTACCAGTCTCGAGAAGTTCTGATGGTCGTGGGGAACTTTGAGAAACCATTCCTAATATATGTACCTGTACATATATACATATGCACATGATGTGATGTGCATATACATGCATGTAACCACTGATCTTGCAACCACTGATCTTATGGGAGGGTACCTTTAAAAAGATAAACTATATATATATATCATACTACATTAAACCATATATGTGTGTGTGCCAGAACGCCATGCTAAATCTTCCCGGCGGAGACGAAAGGAAACAGTCCAAGAAACCAAGCCAGCAATGGAAAATGAGCATGGTTGTAAGGGATTGATGTACTGTGACACTGTGGCATGTTCGTCAGTTACCCACTTCATTGATACTCTTTGTTACTTCATTGAACTTCCCTTTCAAGATAATTACACACCAGGAAGCAGAAAAAGACTCCCTGTCTGCATCTGCAGCAGCTGGGGCAGCAATAAGTCGCGCTGAGAAGTCGATAGGAAGTAGCCAAACTACCATCCTGTTTCGGTGTGAAGACCCATCAAGCCGACGTCACAGCTGTGGAAGGCTCAGCTCCCCCTTAAAGGGGACCGGCCATACAGTTGCTCCAGCCCTCAGGGCCAGCGCTATAAGTTCTCACAGCAGCCCAGCGAATAAAGCAAAGACGTGCAAAAACATTAGCTGGACCCACCGATAGCGATGGCCTCCAACCTACTAGCGATGGCCTCCAACCTAATAGCAATGGACAAGGAAAGAAATCTTTGACCTCCATATCTTCTTCCCACCGTGTGCATCTACCTTCGCTGGATGTATTTCAACACAGACACACACACACACACACACACACACACACACACACGCACGCACAACCCCCTGAACATGAGGGCGGTGCTTGGAATAAGGCTGGGTTTCGAGGTGGTGAAATGCTATGGAAACTGTATGGACTGCATTCTCATAGGGGCTCCATGTTTCTTCCAAGTCTTCAACGCTGCACGAAATCTGCAAGACTGGCAGAGTAGCACATTGATGCTGCACGAAATCTCATGTTCCGCTGGGCTGAGGTGTGCGTCTCCCGTCTCCCGACATCCAGTCCAAAGAAAGACTGCGAGGATTCCGACGTCACATCCGTTGGTAGGGGTTTGCGGTCACCCATACTAGAACAAGGAGCAGGGGTTGTCCAGCTCCCAATCCTGCATACAATCCCGTTAAGTGTGTATTCAAATATCTTAAAATATGGAGACATCGCAAAGATCTCCCGGACAAGGGGAAATGGACCAAAACCCATGGGTTGGGGGGCCTCCCGTTGAAGTTACACACCAAACTTCTATGATGAATTCAAATCTCTCCGTCGGTGCCTGTCACTGGTGAACCTATGAAGTTTGGGAGCGACTTGAGCACTCAAAGTCGCGGTTTCACCCGACTGGTACCACAAGTGTGTTCCATACATGCACATGTGCAGACAAAGAAACCCAAATTCAAACAGATAGATCGATAGACAAATGGATGAATAAAGGCAAATATGCATGGGATAAGTGTAATTATAAGGAAGGGAGTACAAGCGCATATATATATATATATAGGAAGGTCGGAAGGTAGGAAGGTAGGTAGGAAGGTAG